AAGAAAGAAAGAAAGAAAGAAAGAAAGAAAGAAAGAAAGAAAGAAAGAAAGAAAGAAAGACATTGAGCGCTCCACAATGTAGGTTATGTGATAAACTGAAGGCAAGAATTTATGAAACAAGGCATGTCCTAGGGTGAGGGGGGAGGAAGTGAAATCTGACGCTCAAAGGGAATGTCAGCCTGTGCACACAGCCACAGAGTCGCAGCAAGGCTACCAAAGAAGGCAGAAAGACAAACCACCAGCAATCCACGAGTCCCACCCATGAGTCTTAAGTGACCTCTCAATTCAGAAACACGTGTTTCGAACATTTCAAAGACGGATGAAAAGCAGAAAACAACATAATGTAAAGTGCATTTGAGATACAACTGCTTTTCTCCTAACAATCTTAAAGAAAAAGAAACAAAAAGAAGGATTCTCCTAAATGCAACAAAAACAAAAAGGCTTAATAAGTGGCAGAAAGTCCTAGAACATATTTGATAGTTTACCATTGGTGTTTCACAGTTTACTTAGATATCTTTACGTCACAGGCTGTGCCTTATTTGTGGGCTGGTTGGTTGAGAATAAGTTTCTGGAGTCAGACTGCCAGGACCCAGATTCTGACTTTATCACCTACCAGCTCTGTGACCTTGGGTAAGTTACCCAGTGTGCCCTAATTTCCTCATCTGTAAAATAGCAATCATAGAAACACCAACCTCAAAACATTGTTGGAAAAGTTAAATGAGATATTACAAGTGAAGTGTCAAGAGGAGTATACTAACATATTAACTATTTAAATAATATTGTATTATTATGATTAATAAACTGGGTTTGAAAGCCGAAGACCAGGGTTTGACCTATGTGACCAAGACCTGCATGACCTTGAGCAAGGTACTTAAAAAACATGAAGCAGACTCTTAACTTACCTCTAAAATACCTACAACAAAACCTATCCCACAAATTGTTATATGGCTTATTAGGATATGGCTTGTGACTGTTTTGCACACTATGAAGCTCTGCAATAGCTAAGATCATTGTAACCCATTCATTCATCCACACAGAGCAATTGAGCATCTACTGTGTGCCAGGCACTGTTTGGGATGTGACCAGGACACAGAGGTCTTTGCCCATGAGGCTTATATTCAAGAGAGGGCAATAAACCAATATAATACAATGTCAGGCAAGAAAAACAGGGTAAAGCAGTTAGAGATTGGAGGTATGAGTACTGTTTTAGCTAGGACAGTAACATTTGAGCAGAGATTTAAATAAAGTGAGGACATGAGCCATGAGACTATCTGTAGGAAAGGAATTCCAGGCAAAGAGAACAGCATGTGCAAAGGCCATGAGTAAGCGCTTGATTGGCACGTTGGAAACAGCAGGAGTCAGTGTGGCAGGAGTGGAGGGAGCAAGAAGAAGAGTGGTAGGGGAGGAGAGCAGAGGGGTAGTTAGCCCACGGCCAGATTGATCAGTGCCTTGTAGACCATGAAAATGACAGTGTGAAGGAAACCAGTTGGAGTTTAAAGCATGGGAAGGACATGGATCCTTAATGTTTTGAAAAGATCACCTGGCTGCTGTGCTGAGAATAGCTGTACAGGGAGCAAGAGTGGAAGCAGGCACCCTTAGGAAGCTATTGCAGTAGTGTGTAGGTGGAAGGAGGCCACAGTGCTTTTAGGAAAAATGATTGGTTTTGGGATTTGCTGATTATTTTGTGTGAGATATGAGAAAAAGAAAGGAGGCAAACAAACACAAGGCTTTTAGACTGGGCATGGGCAGCTGGGAGAACGGAGCTGCTATCTGGGGTCTGAGAGTGGAGAATCTGGATTTAAAAATATTCAGTATGAGTGTCACAGTCATTTGGAATTCAGATATGATGTTGGGCTTAGAGATATGAACTGGGCATCATAGTTCATGAAAGGATGAGATCACCTAGGAATGAGCCAGGACACAGAAGAAAAGAGGTCACAGGCCTGAGCCCCGGGAGCTACAAATTTCAGATGCCAAGAATCGGAGTCATCATTATAATAATGATAATACTGAAAAACATTAAATGACTCTCTGAACTTGATTTGATTTAGGTGGCTGATTATTGTCATTTTGAATGGATTTTCCATTCCAAGACAGTAAGTCATTTATGTCCTCAAAGCACTTTTCAAATTATATTATTATACCAAGCATATTCATTTATATGCATTTATTGTTCATCCTTCCTTCCAGATCATAAATTTCCTAGAACTAGAACTATGTCCTATTACTGTTTATACCATACAAGCCTGGCACATAACTGAGGGTAATAATATTGATCACTAACATTTATCTAGCCCTATTATATGTCAGCACTAGTCTAAGAGTTTTACTTGTATTAGCTCCTTTAGTCCCTATGCATCCCATGAGGTAGGTACTATTACTGTCACCATTTCACAGATGAATGACCTGAGGCACTGAGATCCATTTGTCAAAAGCCACCCAGATAGGAAGTGGTAGCATTGGGCTAAATAAATACTGGTTAAAACAAATAAATATTTGTTAAAGAATGAATGAATAGAAACTTTGTAAGAGTTCCCACAACCAAGTTCTTCTATTGAACTCTCAATTGGTCTGATGATAAGAATATAGCTTACACCCAATCTTTAGATAATATAACCAAAGGCATTTCCTTGTTTTGTGCTATATTTTTTTGTAATTTTTATTTTTTCAAGACATATTTTATATACAGTAAAACACAAAATTTAAGTGTACAGTTTGATCAGTTTTGACAAAACTATACACCTATTAACCAGCACCGCTATCAAGATATACATCATTTCCATCAGCCCAGAGAATACCTTCATGTTTCCTTCCACTCAGACTAACCCCACCCAACAAGCAAACAGGCAGACACTGTTTTGATTTTTATCACTATAGATTAGCTTTGCCTATTCTAGAACTTAACGTAGATGGAAAA